CTAGGAAAATGGGTTTATATATCTGTGGAATGACCAGGGTGGGACAAAGGACTCTTGTCTGCTGGAGCTAAGCCTTCAACAATACAGCTACAATAACAATAATAACTTTATTTATAACCCACTCTCTCTCCCTGAAGGGACTCAGGGCAATTTACAAAAAATAACAAAATGGCAAACATTAAATTCCCAAAAACAAATAGACAATCAAAGCAAAACGTAAAATAACATAAACTCAATTCAACTTATAGGCTAACTTTTAATACTTTGTATACATCATTGTCCAATACTGTCCTGAAGTATGGTCTGGAATTCTTGCCCACAATATTGCAATTCATGTTTCTCTGTCAATCCGGGGACCCACAAAACCAACCTGAAGGGCAACATTCAGGCCCCCAGATTCACTGACTTCTCACCATCAAGACAAAGCCTTACCCGCTGGTGCTGAGGTTTGAAGAACCTGGAAATGTCTGCTCCATTGCTTTGCAGATGATCACCATGCCCACAAATGCCTCCCATGGCTGGTAAATGCTCTGTCCGGTAGATGACATGTTGCCCAGATGTTGGACTGGCCGGAGGTTTCAGGTAATAGCTGTTATTATGGTCCAGTATAATCAGCCCACTAATTAAAAGAGCAAAAGGGGGTGATGAGAGCAACAGCAAAATCAATAAGAAGTAGAATCATAGAGTTGGAAGAGACCTCGTGGGCCATCTAGTCCAACCCCCTTTATTCTGTCATGCAGGAAAAGCACAATCAAAGCAACCCTGACAGATAGCCATCCAACCTCTGTTTCAAAACCTCCAAACAAGAGGCTGGAGGGTTTTTAATTAGCATCTTTCATATCTAATTCAAGCTTCTACTGGACTGTGACACCTCTTTGATGGCTGAAAGTGAGGAGGAGCTGAGGAGCCTTCCAATCAAGGTGAAAGAAGAAAGTGCAAAAGCTGGGTTGCAGCTAAACATCAAAATAACAAGATTATGGCAACATGAATGTTTGACAACTGGCAAATAGAAGATGAAAATGTGGACACAGTGACAGACTTTGTATTTCTAGGTGTAAAGATTACTGCAGACGCAGACTTCAGCCAGGAAATCAGGAGACGCTTCCTTCTTGGGAGGAGAGCAATGACCAATCTCTATAAAATAGTGAAGAGTAGAGACATCACATGGGGAACGAAGATCCGCATAGTCAAAGCAATGGTATTCCCCATAGTCACCTATGGATGTGAGAGCTGGACTACAGGGAAGACTGAACGAAGGAAGATAGATGCTTTTGAACTGTGGTGCTGGAGGAAAGTTCTGAGAGTGCCTTGGTCCGCCAGAAGATCCAACCAGTCCATACTTCAGGAAATAAAGCCCAACTCATTGGAGGGAAGGATAGTAGAGGCCGAGATGAAGTACTTTGGCCATATCATGAGAAGACAGGAAGGCTTAGAGAAGACAATGATGCTGGGGAAAATTGAAGGGAAAAGGAATAGGGGCCGACCAAGGTCAAAAGGGATGGATGGCATCCTTGAAGTGACTAGATTGACCTTGAAGGAGCTGGGAGTGGTGACGGCCGACAGGGAGTCCATGCACGGCCAGTGTGGGCTGGTCCATGAGGTCACGAAGAGTCAGAAACGACTGAATGAATAAACAACAACAACAAACTGGATTGTGAGTCAATATTACACCAACTTTATAGATATAAAGATTTGGCATTCTACTGAAGAGACGTCAATGTTTGTTCAAGAATCATGGAATCATATAATCAAAGAGTTGGAAGAGACCTCATGGGCCACCCAGTCCAACCCCCTGCCAAGAAGCAGGAATATTGCATTCAAATCTCCCCTGACAGATGGACATCCAGCCTCTGTTTAAAAGCTTCCAAAGAAGGAGCCTCCACCACACTCCGGGGCAGGGAGTTCCACTGCTGAACGGCTCTCACAGTCAGGAAGTTCTTCCTCATGTTCAGATGGAATCTCCTTTCTTGTAGTTTGAAGCCATTGTTCCATTGCGTCCTAGTCTCCAAGGAAGCAGAAAACAAGCTTACTCCCTCCTCCCTGTGGCTTACTCTCAAATATTTATACATGGCCACCAAAGCCCACCAAAGAAGGATACTGACAAGAACGTGTTTACAGGAGGTCGGCCAAAGTGGTCCAAGGTCTGGAAACTATGAATCCCTCTGAAGAGTGGCTTTAGGAGTGAGGGGTGTTGTTTAGCCTTTGCTCTGTGACTTAAGCCTCTGGAGTAAGAGAAAACAAACTGGGTTCATCTTCAAGCCCTCCCAATAGATGGCCAACCAGTCTCTGGTAGGGAAGAAGACTCCAGTTTATTGTCGAAGACTTTCATGGCCGGAATCACTGGGTTTTTGTAGGGTTTTTTCGGGCTATATGGCCCGAATCTGGCCCGAATCATGGCCCGAATCATGGTCTAGAGACATTTCTCCTGACGTTTCGCCTGCATCTATGGCAAGCATCCTCTGAGGATGCTTGCCATAGATGCAGGCCAAACATCAGGAGAAATGCCTCTAAAACATGGCCATATAGCCCGAAAAAACCTAAAACAACCCAAGACTTCAGTTGACCCTGAGACAGGCTATTCCACTCTTGAACAGCTCTTATGATCAGGAAGTTCTTCAGACGGCAACTGTTTCGCTTTAATTTAAGTCAAGCAAGCTTGCTCCCTCCTCAGTGTAATATTATAGGCAGGATGGACATCTTCCATCCTATCCATGTCCTTCTTGAAATGCTTTGTCCAGAACTGTTGAGATTCATGTCGTTAGCTGGTGCTCCAATTCTCTAATCTGTTACTCTCATTTTGGGATTATTTTGCATGTGACGCTGCTTTTGCAACCCTGAATTTTCCAGATTTTATGCCACTCCCTTAAGTGTCCCTCTTCCCCGAAAAAGAGCAAGACGTTCACAACAAAGCTATTTGCAAAGATTGCAATGATAATAGTGATTTAATTCTTAAATAGTATAATAAGTTTGGGAAAGGCTGAACTTTTTAAAAGTCCCTTCTCAAGTTCTGGATACTAGCTTGCAAAAGCAAAATGCTCGGCAGGAGAGAAATACGTATGGCAGTCTGAGTTGCTCAGACGAAACCTCAAGATGGAATAAACAAATAGTCGCCTGCGAGTTCTAGCGCGGCATCCTGAAAACGTTACGATGTTTAGCCTTTTGACATGACACAGGGAGAAAGGAATGCCTCTGAATATCATGCCTCTATTGTGGCCAAGTTGGTTAGATGAGTAGAGGAGGAAAAAAAGAATTGGCCAAGACTGACAAGAACCCGGACCCACCAAAGAGCTCCATCCATGCAAAGACTCCAAGACAGCATTGTCTCGTTCGGGATGGATCAGGGGAATTTTTTCCATAGATGAATCTACATTGTGGAATTAATGCAGTTCAACACTACATTAACTGCCATGGCTCAATGCTATGGAATCCACAGAGTTGTTGTGCTGTCACACGCTGGGCCTGTGAAAGAGTCTGTAGGCAGGATGTGTTTTCTGAATGCCCAACGGGACGCCGGGGGTGCCTCGGCTGAGAGGCCTTTCGGATTTCCCTACACAAAGTTCTTTTAAAGACTTAGAAAGTTCAACAAAGTTTTTATTGTTGCTTAAATCTTCAATACATCAAACAAATACTTCAAGGCTTTGAATCAACTGGTGGCTTGCTTAAATCTTGTCCACAAGGGACAGGCAACTTTCTTCATAAACTGTTTCTTCCTTCTACAAGGGAAATCCTTCACCTCTCCCTGGGCAATCTAACTTAGGCTTTGTTGGCGTAGGGCCCCTACACCTGGTTCCAATTTGCGTTATGGCTGCCGCAAGAGGTCCTTACCAGGCCAAAGTCTCTGTGTAGATTTCCAAGAGGAAAGAAGTCCTTTGTTTTCCAGCTAAGGCTGGCTGTAAAACCGTGGAGCTGTATTTCTCCAACAAAGGATATGCTGTAGTTCTCTGTAGAGCTGTGGGACTGGATCCCACAGCAAAACTGTAAAAGATGAAGCTTTCTACAGGTGGAACTGATTCACGTCCTATACGAAAGGCTTCTCTGTGTGAACTGAATTAGAGGTCCCCTTTTTCCCTCCTTAACCCAAAAAAAGGGGCGGAACTAAAGAACATAATGATAATTGATGGGTCATTGGCCCTATGATTGCAAACCAAGGGAAGCCACCTTATTGCAAAATGCATGGAACTTTGAAATACATGAAATCACTCAACAGAAAGGAAAAGAAGTTGGACCTCCTGGTACAGCCGTACCAGCACAGTTGTAGTCTGGTTGGACACAAAGGTGCTTTGGTAGAGAAGACTTTACAGGCATGGGTAAACTTGGGCCCTCCAGGTGTTTTGGACTTCAACTCCCACAATTCCTAACAGCCTACTCTGTACTGTCCTCAGCTTATTCCGATGGCTGCAAACTGGGTTCAAAATACAAGAACTAGAAGGAGAAGAAGAGGAAGAAGAGGAAGAAGAGGAAGAAAAAACAACTTTATTTATACCCCGCCACCATCTCCCCAACGGGGACTCGGAGCGGCTTACATGAGGCCAAGCCCGAACAACAAATAACAATACAATGAGATACAAATTGCAATAAAATAAACAACATAACATTAAAGTATAAAACATATAAGCATATATAAAGAATATACACAAAACATAAAAAATAAAAATAAAATAATAATAATAATAAAAAACCAGAAAACCAAACATAATGACAGCTGTATGTATTCAACTCAATTGGGGAAGAGTAACAGGCAGAACCTTTCCTATCCTAATTGGCTGAGGTAAAGCAAGCTAATGCAGACTTTCCTGGTGTATCTATTTATTCTCCCTCATAGGTAACTTTTGCAATCTTGACTGCACTCTGGTGTTGCCTTGCCATACATGTCACTGTTTTCATCTCTGGCTATTACTTTTGCCCTTTGTCCAGATGTAAAACTACTTTCTTTGGATGTAGGAATAGAAGAAAATGCTCCAATTGGGCTTTCTTTTCCTAGGAATTAAGCTCAAAAATGTCGGACACTTTTTTGATTATTTTTTAAAAAACCTTGCACATGGGAAGGGAAGGCTCGAAGTTTGCAATGCAACCAAAACAAAGTAGAAAACCCAACATAATAGAAGAGAGACAACTTTAATTCCCTGGAGAAATATAACTGATGGGATCTCCGCCCAAGTGCCCTTTCAGTTAGTCCAATTGCAAACTTGGGCATCAGTCCATAAGGAAAGCATGTGGCACTCCTCCAGTTGTAGGACTCTCCTTTTTTTTAGTGTCCATTAATATCCTGAGTCACAAATGAGTTGTGTGTAGATTGATACATAGCTGAGAGATGACTTCATTTGCCAGCATTCCTAAAGAAGCAGCTCACAGAGATGAAGGGTTGTGGTGGCTATTTTGAGTCCTGCTGTGACCAAATGGGAAAGCCGGACGCACAAGACGGAGAGGGGAATAAGGGCATGGGAACTGCAAAAGGTACATATATACTGTGGAATACATGCAGTTTGACGCCACTTGGACTTCCATGGCTCAATGCTATAGAATCCTGGGAGTTGTAGTTTGATGGGGCACCAACGCTTTCTATCGGAGAAGGATGACGACTTTGTGAAAGGATAATGGCCACAATTTCATTGCATTGAG